CCCTCCGGAGGTGCCACCTGAGCGTCTCCGTCCTGGAAAAGGGAGGACAGGAAAATTCACATGCAGGGGTTGGAGGCTTGAGTTTCACAACCTCCTTGCTAGCATTAGGTGGAGAAGAGGGGAAAGGGGCACCTTATTGCTCTGCTTTCCTCTGCTGAGCCCTCCAATGTCAGTGGAGAACGGCTGTGCCCTCACAGCCTCCCGAAGGAGATGCTGGCTGCCTAATTTGGGGTCATGTCGCCCTAGACGAGCAGGCAAAGGCAGGAGCAGGTGGGTAGGGCAGGAGCTGGGCTGCTGAACGCAGGTGAGCTGCACCGGGAGCAGGGCCGGCGCGCGGCCGGATAACCGGAGCGCGGCGCAGGCAGGCGAGGGGCCGCCGGAGAGCGGGCTCTGAGCGTGCGGATCTTTGTCAGCAGCCCCACGAGCTGAGGTCAAGCTGAAATTTCACCCCATTTCCTCTGTTGGCAGAAGCCACTTCCAATTTCCAGTACAGACGAAGAAAGACAATTGCAGCTCGCGCTCGCGCTGAGCAGAGAGGAGCACGAGAAGGTACCTGTGCCCGCAGCCCCGAGCGCTCCTCTCTCCTTGCACTCGGGCTTCTCTCTGGGGCTCTGGAGTCCGAATCGCTGCGTAGCTCTGCCTGGCTCGGCCGGCGGGCCCCGGGAGCGCGCGGGCACCCGCTTCGCTTCCGCTGCTCCGGGGCTGATTGCTGAGCACTCTTGCGGCGGGCTCGTCCCAGAGGAGCCGTCTGCTCGGATGCTGGGGTTCCCGGGGACGCGGTGGCAGCTCTGGTGCTGGGTGTCTCTCCAAGAGAAGGTGCCGGCCCGCGTTGCTGGTCCTCACCGGCACCGTCCCTTGTCCCTGCAGGAGGTGAGGGCTTGGCAGGGGGAGAACTCCCTGCTGCAGAGAGCCTTGGAGGAGACTGCCCAGGGCGGGGAGGAAGAGGAGGAAGAAGATAAGATGAAGAAAAGCCAGGTAAAGCCGCTGTGGGCCCAGCTGGCTGCAGGGGGACAGCACATCCAGCCTGAGCTTACTGTCCCACATCCAACCTTGTGCTCCAGAGCAGTCCCACTGTTCTGGCCTGGACATGCAGGTCTTCCCTGGCCTTCTCTCATTGTTACTCCTTTCCTCTTTGCAGTCCTCTATTATGGAGCTGGCAGACATATTTGGGCCGGCGCCGGCCCCTCCCAGCCACACGTCTGCGGACCCGTGGGATATGGCAGGTAGGGACAACTCCCGGGCTGCCAGAGCTTGGCACGGTGGCAGACACCGCTGTCCCTTCCCGTTCCTGGCAGCCCAGCAGTGAGGACCTCCTGCTCTGCCTCCCTCCTCTGCCCCGTCTTTTTCCCCCCGTTTCAGGGGTGGTTTCCTCGCGTGCCCGGGTGGTGCTGCTAGGAGCAGCCCTGCGCTGCGCTGCCCTTCCGCGGCCTGCGGTGCTTCCCGCTTCCATGGCTTCCCTTCTCCTTTCAGATCTGAAACCCAAAGCAGAGCCGGCAGCCTCCGCCTGGGCTGGCGGGGCCGATCCCTGGGTCCCGCTCCCGGCCGGGGAGCCGCTCTCCCAGCCAACAGCGTCATCCCACCAAACCTCCGCCGGGCCCTGGGATTTCCCCCCTGGTGCCTCCTCCTCCTCCTCCTCCTCTGATCCCTGGGGAAAGGCGCCCTTGCCTTCTGGCTTCTCCTCTGCGGACCCCTGGGCAAAGGCGTCCCCACCTGCTCAGGCTCCTTCTGGTGCTACGTCGGCTCCTGACCCCTGGGCTGCTGTCACTGACCAACCTCCTAACCCGGGTAAGAGAGGCTTGAGGGGTGCTCGGGGTGCGCTTGGGATGCTCAGGGCTTTGACCATCCCTCCCCTCTCCTAGACATCCCAGGCATGTCTGTGCTTTTGTGGCAGTGTGTCCCTGCCTTGTCCCTCCTGCTCCCCAGCCCTGCCGCGCTCCTATCCCGCAGCAGGACCTTGCTGCTGGCTCCCTGGCATGCTGAAGACTTCAGGGGCCCTCTCGGCTTCATCTCTGTGCACAGAGTCAGGCTGCTTTAATTAACCTGGCATAGTTAACTGAGCGCTCCCGCGGGGACATCCCCACCACTGACACCGCAGAGCGGCTCCGCTTGCTGTTCTCCACCCAAAACCGTGCCCAGAGAGCCCCATGAGGCTGGGGAGCTGCCAACCGCCTTTGCCACGTCGCAGGGAAGGAACCGCTTGTAGGAGAAACCCATATTCCAAGCCCGATGCTGCTCGCGGTTCCTCCTTGGTGTTCCTTCCATCCTTGAACAGACCCTGGTTTCACAGCCCTCAGTGCAGGAGCCGTTGCCCTGGGCTTTGGTGTCTATGTGAGAGCAGAGCCCGGCGCGGGCCGCGGTGCCGCTTCCCTGCTCAGCGCAGCGCCGTTCGGGCCTTCACCCTGCGCGTCA